CATTTGGTAAGATTGGCACTTCAATAATAATAATAAATTCGCAAGAAGTCCGCATTTATTAATTAAACTTTGGCGAGCTCTATATCAAACACGCGAATGTGTCTTGATCGCGCTTGGTATACGCCGCTTTGATATATTTGATGCCAGACGCAGTCTCCATCCTTAATCCATTGCGAATTCTCCCGAGGATGTTATCTCTCGTATTCGTTACGTGCATTAGTGTGTTTAGTCCAGTCGGAGGCCTTCTAAGGCTGTTACCCCGCGTATTTATTATGTGCACTTCGTGTAACCGCGCGAAAACGGGGTCTAAAATGAAGAGATGTCTATCTACTCCCTCCTTTTTCTCTCTCCCTCTTTCCTCCCCCTCTCTTCTATCTCCACCATCTCTCGACTTCTCTATCTTTTATTCCTTCTCTCTTTTTCTCTCGACATGTTGTTCTCTGTGCATGTTCTCCGTGGTGTAACGTGCACACGATCGTCCCAAGCCGGGTCGCGTGTGAGTGTATAATGTAGGTTGCTGGCACCTTGATGAAGGGTTCGCGTGACGAGTACCCTCTATCCGCCGGTATCCTGTCTCTCTCCTGACCTGCTCGTCCGCACCTCCTATTCCGTGCGGTTCACAGTCCACGGTTACCCACTTAAACGTTGAAAAAAACGCATGGTCGCGACGACGACGACGACGACGGCAACGATAGCGTTCTCCTCGATAGCAGAGCGACCATTTCGCTTTCCGCCGCGTTTCTACAAAAAGCAGTTTAATCGATCGCCATCGATAAATTATAGTGCGGTTCGTTTGACGAGTGAACACCTATTTATAATAAAACGAAGAACATATTGTTCTTTCGCCGAAACTGAACTCGTCAAAGAACGAGATATTCGAAGAAACACAAGGCCGTTTTTACAGTTCAAGGATAATGTACTAAGTTCCACTTGATTGTTTTTTGTACCATTCCTTTTTTCCTTTTCAATTGCAAATCGATTGTTTGTACATCATCTTTTTTTTAAGTTGTCGGAAGATTTGTTCCCTTGTCGGCAAACCTTTGACAATGTTTACCGTTTACAATTTGTACATGTGTCCTCCGTTTCTAGAACAGTTAAAATACAGGACGTAAAGGAAGCGATAAATAAAGGAAAAGAGGAGCGAGAGGGATGGTTTCGAAACGTGGCGAGTGCGAACGTGGGAAAGGAGGAACCCCGGGACGAAGAGCCGAAGGAGTTCACGGTCTCGGCACCCCGTAGGGCCCCAGACAATTCCACCTGATTGGTAGAATCCGAATTCGTATTGTCATTCGGCGGACTGACGTTCAGCTGGGATTTCGTGCCAAGTTGCCTCGTGCTAACGACGCTATTCGTGCATTGCTGCGTTCTTGATATATCGATCGTCGTCGCCCGACCCGAGGACACGGAGAACAGCGACACACCCTGGGATTACTCCGAATTTTTTAAATGAAGCTCCAGTAGCTCATTGTGTCCCCGGGAACCCTTGAAATCGTCTCCCGTACCTAATGCCCAAGGATCCAAACATCAGCTGATTCTATTCGCTTCGAATTGACAAAAGCGTACAGTTTTGTTTCGTCAATCCCACAATTTGTCTCTCCTCGTCGGTCAATTCCACGGTTATTAAACTCAAGTGTCAGAAACCTTATTTGCCAAATATTGCGTATCACGAGCCATTCTCCCCTCAGTATAAGTTTGCACACTCGTGCTCCTCGCGATTAGTTCAGGTAACATTGTAAATAAATCCTAAACTCGATATCGCTTTCCACTTCCCGACGACGATTAACACGGCAGGCGCATGTTTCCCCGCGACGACGACGTCTCAAGGTTGCACGGATTGCGGCGGGTTATATTCTCAGGCGATCATCGCTCCTCCCCGCCCGGGGCTCTCTCGCGGCGCGTTTTGTAATTACGCCGCCGTCCGTCTTATCCGAAATCATCCCGTGCGTACGCGGCTTATCCAATTATCATCTGCTTTCCGCGCGCTGGCGTAAACACACACGCTTCGCGGGCGCTGCTATAATGTAGCAGTCCGCCGATCGCGTTCTGAAGTTTCTGCCCGCTGGAAGGTGGCCCCTCATCCTCCCGACACCTTTACATTCAACGATAATTACCCGGCTCCCCAAGAGCCGCTAAGTATTTCGTAATTAGAGGCCTGCCGGCTTATCCGAAATCGCACTCTCGATTACAAGCTCGCGCGGCTTATCGATTATCATCTCTACCTCCTGCATAGCGCGCGCGCGAAGCCGCTTACTTTTACCTTCTATACCATACCCTTCCCGATTTCGCTGTTTCTCGCGCGGTTGTATCTTTTATTGCGAACCCCAAGGTAGCGAGAAGCACGTCACGTCAATCAGTCGTGACTTGAGAATATGATTCGAGGCTCATTCGTTACTTCGCAATGATGTTGAAGATCCGGGAAACTCTTGGCCGCATACTGTGGAACCGTGAGACATCGATAATCGCGCGAGTATACTTCGACGAAGACCGCGATCGAACAGATCGCAATGACGAAGTCAAACGAATCAGCCAGCAAATTATCTAACACGTCGCTTTCTCCTCTATCGATAACGTAATAGTACCGCATGTCACGTGTCACATATTGTTGCGCATTGCGGAGGAGGGATCGTAGGCGTTAATAGCGGAGTCGCTGAGCTTATCTAATACATCTAATATCCGAGCGCGCTCTGGACAAACACGACATACGGCGGTACACTCGTACGTTGATCACGTCGGTAACACCTCAAGGTTGCGCTTCGGTAACAGCTACATTTCTATCCGACAAACAGCCCGCGGTACGGTGAGCCGGCGGAGAAGCAAAGAAAGTACACATTTATAGAAAGAATTAACTCGTATGATGCCTTTAGAGCGCAATGGTAGATTTATCAAGGCGGCAATCTGAACGGTTGCTCGAAGCCCCATATATATAGCTTCAGGCTTCTGATCACGTAATTTGTTGCTTGACGAGCGATTTAAATGAACGTAAGGATGAAAAAGGAATTTGGGTGGATCTTATCAATGAGGCCTCTTCCTCGGTATTTCAAATGTATGAAATATTTCGAGAGCTGTGGACTCTCTAAGATGTTGCAAGTAGGTTCCACGTAGCCATTCTCGATCGGAAGGCACCTGTTTGCGCAATTCTTGAAGCGCGCCTCGTAATTGCGCACGGCGCGGCTTAACCGCAATCACATTCGCAGTTACAACCGCGTGGCTTATCGGATTATCGTCTACTTTCTGCACCGCATAAATATATACCATATAACGTCGCTGGTACACGTCGCGTTACAAACCTCGCGCTACGCGAAGCAAAACGCTGCGTAAAATAAAACGGTGGTGTCCAGCGGAGCGGATGATTAATACACGCTTAATTATAATTAAAATGCGCGGGCTAAGTGAATTAAACGAGACGCTCCGCAAAAATCGAGTTATAAAAAGATTGCGATTGGCGCAGAAATTTTGTCAGGTCCATAAATCCAGGTGGTTTTAAATTAACTCTCTATTATAGAATATTAGCGAAAGAGAATATTGGAATCGAATACTGATAATTGAAGATGATTACCAGAAATAATATTAGGAGTTGCAGCTAAAAAAGTACATTAATTTCTGTATAAGTAACTAATATTGATTTAATATCTCAATACTTAAACGTCTAAATTAATGGACGGTAATCTCCCGCAAACATTCGGAATGTTTCTTCATCGCGACTGAGAATAACGCTTTCTGGGCACTTGTTATTAATAATAATAATCGAAGTGCGCGTCTGTTTCGCAAGCACTTCGACGCCGGCGAGCGAAAGATGTGGTCTGTCCGGTGCGCGCGGTATTTCGCAATTAGCTGGGAAGCTTATCGCGATCGCAGCATCTCCGGGGTGGTTGTTTCTAAAGAACGGAGTCCCGGCGTTCCGCGGGTCCTCGATCGCGATCGCGAACTTCGGGCGATAATGCGGCGCATCGATCATCGCGGTAGCGCCTCGAGGTTGTACGCGCACGTTGCATGCACCGTCGGGACAGCCGATGGTTAGTTCTTTCTCTCTCTCGACTAACCCTGTGCCCGTGCGCACACGAATATCTCATAATTCCGACCGTGGTCACGCATCCCGGCCGCAGCTGCGGCGGCTCGCCGGCCGAAACTTTATTAGCATACCTATAAAAATGCGCGCGTCCGCGCGTAAACGGGCGCGATAAATTACATTTGAAACTCCCTTAAATATCTCGTAAAACGTCAGTCAATGAAATCCATTAGTTCAGGTATATACGCTGACGTAGTTGGTCGCTGCCCTGCGTGCTACCGACAACGTCTCGTCGTCCGGCGAGCTCTTGCCCGCGTCTTTTCCCGCTATTTGCTCGCGAATTAAAAGCGTCGCGGTCTTTAAATACGGCCGATTAACGAGCGTGCGAATATGGAGTCGCGTTACGATATCGTAAAGATAATTACCGATGAATGGCGAAGTTGAAGGAGCGAGACCTTCCCCCTTCCCCCCGGGTACCTTTCTGTTCTGTCCGCGTCAAAAATACAATCTGTCCTGTCTGCAGCCTCTCTGAGACTGATCCCATTAATTTACAAAAAAAGTTCCTTGCGATTACATATTTATTTGTAGGTAAGTTGCTGAGTATGTATCAAGATAATCGATAAGCCTTCGTACAGATAAAATTATATTATAAATAATACACATAAGATTTATTTAGTAAAATTAAAAAAAAACGGAAATTTTTGTAAAATGGATAAATTACATTATTCTCAATATTTTCGTGGAATTCGCTGCGATCCCTTATGAAACGTGAAGTGCTCAAATTATTAACTTTATTCGAAATAGTTAGGAAAAAGATGGAAACAAAAAACTTTGTGAAAAGTACCCCTGTTACCTTCAACGATTATTCGTCCTATATCCAACGACTCGAATTCGCTCTACTCACTTAGCACGGCACGTTACAAGTTCTTCGAACGCGCACCGGAACCTTTTCCCGATATACTCTCGCATCTCTCGATCGACATGCGTCACTTACCGGCCGGTCTTCGTGATGATCATCTCCGTGCCGAGTTCGTTGAACTTGTCCCAGAGATCCTTGGTCTCGAGTTGGCACTCGACGTCACGCAGCTCGTCGGAGTTGCAGCTGGTCCTTAGACGTTGCTTCTTCTCGTCCGTATTGCAGGCGCCGTCCGCGCTGCGTTTCCGCGAGGGCGTGCTAACCCCGGCGAGATCGTCGGCCAACACCCCGTGGACCGGCCCGTCGTCGACGCTGCTGCACTCCTCCACGTCAACGTCCCCATCCTCGTCCTCCTCGTTCGCGGACTTCTCGGTGCTCTCGCTTCCGCCCTCGCAGTTTTCAGCCTCCTCGTCGCCCAAGAGGGCCTCCTCCGTCACCACTGTCGCCGTCGCGACGATGTTCACCGGCGAGGTTTGAACACCTGCGATACAAGATCCCCTATTTATCGCGTTTAAACATGTTACCAACGTGCAATCTCGTAATAAGAATTACGATTTACGAGAAACCTATTATTAGCATTAATTAAGTAATATTATTCATTTGTCATTAAAATATAGTTCACAAGCAATTTTAATTTCCATCGTAATTATAATATTGATCATAAGTCGTCTGTCTCTGATTAAAACTTTCGTCCAGTGGACGATTCCAGCAAGATTATGTCTCGAGCCGTGTCGGAGCTCCGATGGGAGCACGTTGGGCTTATTGAGTCGAGATTTATCGCGAAATAACGGCGTCAACCATCGCGACCGTCGCGCAAGACGCGGAAAGGAAATCCCCGAAGCAGGAGCGCGATTATCGCAAACCGCGTCGATTTAAATGAGCGAGATGAGCCCGAACGATATATCGGGGGCCCGCCGCCTGTTTAATTAATCGACCGGGCCCCGCATCTGCCACAAGGTGGTGGCCGGCGCCTAATTAAACCGTCAGATTTTCAAGAAAGCCGATCCGCCGGTCGTGCCGGTGTGTACACAATGTTAATTGCGCCGGGTCCGCGATATCGATCTGTTAATTTGTACTATTCCGCGCGAACAATGCGTCTTCCGGCGCGCGTTTATCTCAAATTGGATCCGCCGCCCGGCCGCGTTGTTCGCGAGTGCGTACACGCACGTGCGGTAGTACATACGGGAAAATTTATCGACGCGGTTGTCGTCGACGAGAAACGAACCGTTGATCGCCACAACACGGCTCTTCTCTCTTCCGCGCAAACCTGCCTGTCTTGAAAAGACTATTACGGGCCCCGTATTCGTATTTTCATTTAGCTACCGCGCTAGATACGACTGTCCGATACGGGGAATTTATTCGCTTAATGTGAAAATGGCGTATCGGAGGGTTGAGGAGGAACTGACAGCCGTATTTAGTACTGAACTCGCGAACCCGAACCTTGCTCGCCTAGTATCAAGATAGCATTCAATGTTAACGCGGCGTAAGACGCAATAAATATCTCTGAAATATTTTTGAAAGGGGGAAGGAGAATAATTATCCCGCGATACAAGGTATACCCCGTGATCGTTTTATGAAGATGGTTCCCCGATAAAAAAAAAACGGGGAATATCCGAGTCTCTTTCGTTTCCGGGGAGAACGACTCCGCGCGCTAACGACTTAATGAATCGCCGGCCGCGCTTCTTCCCGCTTCGCTGAGACGGGAAACGGAGAGGCGAGTTTCTGCTTTTCAGTGGGATAATCCAACAGCCTCTGCTCCGTATAGCTCGTCAAGTCAGAAAACGCGGTGACGATCGCTCGTCAATCGCGGCGGACACTAATTCGACGTGTTGCTTCCCGTTTT